TAAGCGAAGCCCCGACCACCTTTGGAAAATGCTGAAATTTAGCAGGTTACAGTCCCGACTGGTAGTCCAGAGTCTCTCTTGCCACTCGGAACAAAAAAATAGGCAACACTGTTCCGAGTGACGGGCGACACTCTGACTGCTAATTGACAATGCTGTCTGCTAATTTGGGGCACTTTACCACAATGAGCGAGGCAAATGCAAAGTGGGCGGGGTCTCTCACGGTGGAAGGAGCTACAAGGGGCAGCTTAGCAAGGCGACAAATTGAAAAAAGATCAAAAAGTTGCAAATTTCGCAGAAATGCCCTCAGTGTGGACGTGAATAGAGGGTTACAGCCTTTATTTGTCATTATGCGTTTTTTTTAATTTCGTATCCAGCACTTTTTGAATCAGATTGAAAAAACTGTACATGTGTCTGAGCAATAGTGGGAACCAAACTTACTCCTGCGGCAAAGTTTTGTGCATAGCCAGTGCCACGTAGGATTCGACGTGCACACGGCAGCAGATATTATATCCACGAGTAGTGAGAAAACGACATTCCAATGGAGCGTGGACACTACAAGAAGACGACTTCAGGCGCAGAAGGAGATTCTCGTCAGACTTGTGCAAGTAGAGGGAAGATCGATCTGCGAGGCTGCACAATTTGCTGGTGTTAACGAGAATACAGCAAGAAGCGTACTCCGTGCGTACAGAAGGGAAGGTGGAGCGGGAGCGCCGCTGTGGAGGAAACAGCATCGCGAAGTCCGACGTCCTGAGAGGCATAGAAGAGATCGTTGAACAGCATCCAGAGGACACCCTGGCGCAGATACAGCAACAACTGAAGGATGGAAACATTGAGTCAACCGTGTCTACGATTTTCGACGCCCTGGTGAAGTTAAGGATTACTGAAGAGATGCCACTACGAGCTTGACCGCGCAAACAGTGAGGTGACGATTGCAAGTCGGCAGGCTTATGCTCTCGACTTCTTAGCAAACACGCCGCAGGAGAAGGAGAAGTGGATCTTCATCGATGAGAGTGGATTCAACCTCCACCTGAGAAGGACACAAGCTCGCTCAAGGAGAGGAACGCGAGTGAACGTTGTGCTGCCTACGGTCAGAGGCCGAATGGTTACGCTTTTTTTGGCGATGAACAGTCAAGGCATCGTCCATACAAAGATCATAAATGATGGGACCTGTAATGAGGTCAAGTTTTGTGCATTCGTCGAGGAGCTGGTGGCTCTTCTGCGCAGGAAAGAGATCGATGGTGCCTGGCTGATTATGGATAACGCTAGAATCCACAAGACGATTGAGCTGAGAAAAATTCTGGACGACACACCATATCATCTAAATTTTCTTTCGCCCTATTCCTACATGCTCAATCGGTCCAAAAACGTTTTCTCGAAGGTGCAAGGCGTCGCCAAAGCGCCTGCTGGGCAACCCGACGGCCGAGCAGACGCTGTGCACGGTTATTCAGGATAGCGTTGAAGCTGTGACACAGGCTTGACTGCGCAAACTACATCGACCACATGCTTGTGAACATGACGATAGCAGCAGCTTAACAACCTTTTACCGAATGACTGTTTGTGCTTTGTCTTACACCGTTTCAGTTTTTGTTGTGTACATTGTCATATCTGAAGTGCTATTTCTGTTGACTTGTCGTTGAAATCTTTGTTATTTTTTGTATAAAAAGAATCTATTATGTATACCGACAAATAAATTTCCTCCTCGTTATCCATGTCCACCTTAAGATGACTGGATTGTCGATTAGCAGTCAGAGTGTCGCCCGTCACTCGGAACAGTGTTGCCTGTTTTTTTCTTGTTCCGAGTGGCAAGAGAGACTCTGGACTACCAGTCGGGGCTGCAACCTGCTAAATTTCAGCATTTTTCAAAAGTGGCGGGGTTTCTTCGAAAAGGGCGGAGCTTCTAATAGTGGACGGGGCTTCGCTTCACCTGTATCACCTGTGCTCCCGTTGATCATTGAGTTCCTCGAGCAGGGCTGCCAGTAACGTCCGATTCGGTCCCTTGCAAACGTGCAAGAGTTGTGCCCCAATGAACTCTTGTGTAGCTCGAGGACACGGATGAACTTCCATTACATTCGTTCAGAGCTTTTCACAAGAAGGTCCTACACATTTCGCGTAGGCGGTCCTTCCAGGCGGTTCCGCTTGGACATCCCGTGGGGAATCCAGTTTTCCGGTGAACAGCTGCTGGCCAGCGTTAGGGTCCGGTCGTCCTCGAAATGCATGACGTGTCCAGCCCACCTGATCTTCGAAACTTTGGCAAATGCGGCGGCGTCTCTGATCTTCGATCGTTGGCGGAGTGCGGAGCTCGATTCCCTCTTCGACTGCGGTGTAGCGCGGAAAACATCCGTGTAGCATCGCCCCCCTTTCGATGGCGCGCTTGTGAATATAACACCGCACCGCCGGTTCATCCTGTTTCGATAGAGAAGTCCAAGGCTCTGGAGAGCGCTACGTTCAAGCAGGAAGGCATCAGCGCGAATTCGAAGAGGTGTGAGGCACGGAAGCTTAGTGTTCTTTTGCGGTCTTCTTCTCGCGACCTCCCTCGTAGTATCTCGTGGGAAGGCTCCCCAAGCCGACTCGGCTTGCCTCCCTCCTCAGCTCTTGCGAGTTAGGTCATTCATCATATTGAACTTTCACGACCTTAAAGCTTACAATAGCCCTGGAGCATCTGCATGAGAATTGGGTCGTTGCCGTTGGCGTGAGATGGGGCATTAGATATCAATCTCGTTTCTCTACTACGATGAACATCGTCTTTCGTTAGGTTCAGCCGTAGACCGATTCTTCCACACGCGCAGTCGAATTCAGCCAGCATTCGTTCCGCTTGCTCGATGTTTGGCGTTATCAAAACGATGTCGTCAGCAAAGCGGAGATGGTGTAGTTGCGTAGCCGGTCGAATTCTCGTCACTCCATGTCTTCCCCATTCCAGTTTAGCCATGGCGCTGTCTCGCGGGCTTCAGACCCTTAGCAAGTCCAAAAGATGCCAAAGGGTTGTTTGTCAAAACTTATCAAATCTTTGCAAAGTCGCCGGAAGACGACGGTGGGCCGAGGGGGCGGAAGCCGAGGAGTGCTGGTGACATAGATGCGCCTCTATGCAAGTACGATTCGTTGGTGCTCGGAAAGTGGGAGGTGGAAAACAACGACGGTTGAAAAGTTATAACAAAATTCGATGTGAGATCGCTTTGTCAAAAGCGGGGCCGCGCGGAAGTCAGAGTCAGTGTAGTCGACGTCCTGTTTTTTCAGTGCGGTGTGCGTCGGGTGGTGGGAAGCATGACAAAAGGGTCAAAACCGAAGTAAAATCCAAAAAGTGTATGGGAGGGCCTGTCGGGAATGGTCGCGGTCACGCTTCGACAGACTGCGAACTCTCAGTAATGGAGTCACGCATAGGCGTAGCTAGGGCTACCTGCGGGAGAGCAGTACTCTCGAGTCTGGAATGACACTCCATCATCGAGCAGGCTCCGAGCCACGTCGCACGGGGGTCCAGGACATCATCTCCACCACGGCAGTCGGGCAAGGCGGGGCAGCGTTTGATGGTAGTGCGATCGGCGAAGTGACCCTGGAGCGGACGGAGACCGAGTATTTTGCTTGCGGCGGCGCCGGACACGATATGCAGCGGCTGGCCGGGGGTTACATCAGCAACTCGAAAAGGAATATTCCTCGTCACAGTGTCGTCGCCCCGGACCCTTGCTTGGTAAAGACTTGGCGTACTGCGCTACTGCGACGTGGGAGTGACACCACATGAACTAAAAATGCCGGTTGGTTAACTGCTTGCCCTAGCTTGGAGAATGGTGGAAGGGGCGCTGCAGCACCCTGGAAGAAAGATTGGAGTATTTAAGCGGGGGTTCGCTGAACTAAACCCCGGGCCTAGATACTTAAACTAAACGCCCTCAATTACTCGGTTTAGGGCGGAGCTCAACAGGGTGGTCTACAGTGGCGGAGAAATCAACTCCGGTACCCACTCACTTTCGCGCGGCCGAATCTCTCGATGGCGCTCCTCCAGAAGGCTGTGGCGGAGTATCATTATAGTATTTAATGTGCTCTTTAATAGGTGGAATATCTAAGCAGGTCACCTGACCTAAACCCCCTCAATTACCTGGTTCGGGCGGAGTTCAATAGGGTGGTCTACAGTGGCGGAGAAATCAACGATCTCGCTGAACTCAGAATGTCCGATAACAATCTAATGAAGTATTGCTTACAGAGCTCAAGGAAGAAGAGTCTTTTTTTGCCCCCCCCCCCCTCCCCTGTAGAACAACTCTGCGGATCCTGCTTTCCTGAGCACACGCTTATATTTGCAGCAGGGGTGTGTTTCGCGCCATAGCGCCCATACAATACATAAATCTGCAGATATAGATACAATGTGCAGTCGGCCAATACAGAGCAATATGAATCTCTCAGTAGAAGAACTAATTCCATTTTCATCAACTGCACCGAAATGCCTACCGATTAACCCTTCCCTTTTCAATTACCATGCAACCCGCTTGCTGAAGTACAAATAATTGTAGGTATTATACTCCCTTATTATTCGTTCTCATCAGTAATTAAAGGGTTAAAGGTGAAAAAGCCACCTCATTATACAGGTTTTCAGTTCTCCTCGAATTTCCCTGAGTTTCCTGTTTCACGCAGAGTACATGTTCCCTCTTCCCCCTCCCCGCTCGTTTCTCATAGCTTGACACCTCCTAAACCGACGACAACGGTACCAAACATATGTAGAAAAGGATATCTGCAAGAAGTAAGTATCGATAGAAGCGAATTAGTTCTTGTATGCCGCACCCGACAGTGTCAGTCACACTTTTCAAGCCTCATGCTTTACATTCCAATTCGTCTAAAGAAAATGGGCTAGCTTGGAAAGGCCTGATCGGCGAAGTGGAGCAAAGAGGAGAAGCCCGGAGGATTGCTGAGTGAAAATAAAAGAGGAAAGAATCACAGACATGGAATGAAAGAAAGAGAGAGAATGCAGTGCTGGTCGCTTTCGTGGCAGTACAAAATGTATTCCAGGAAACTACTGACTAAGAATGGCAACTACTGACATTGATACATCACCTCGAGTTACTGAAGTACTGGGAAGTGCAAGTGACTTGCCACCAGGAATGTTAGTTAAAGCGTTACCCTGTCAATCGTGCGCTAATCGGAAAAGGACAATGGATCCTCCTTAAAATGTTTAGGAGAAAGATATTTCGTGTAAAAGATATGCCAATTTTGGTTATTAACGATAATGGAACCTATTATGCTATTACCGCCGTCTGTTCATATTTTGATCCTCTAGAACCAGATAAGTTCTTTCAACAGTCTGTTTTTTGCTTATAGCCTCAGAACAAAACTCAACAGGTAAAGGGCCCACAGTTAATATCGACGTAACCAGTTGAGGCGGTTTCAGTAGGGTGCAGTGAGATCTACCGTGATTCTTGCAATATGGAATCTTGTCCATGTCACGTGCAGAAACGCACACTGCTGGCTTGAACATGTTACGCAACAGCATGTTTCCAGCATGTGGGAGTGGAGACCTGGCGTAGAGTAGGATGTTGGCAAAGCTGCTTTTCTGGTATAACATCATGAGCTCCACTTTAGATATTTATCTGGTATTCAAAGGCAGGAGGCACGCGAAACTCGTAAATCTGCAGTGTCATTTTCTGATAGTAGGGAATAAGGTTTCCGGCTATGGTTAGAAACGTTGCTGGCAGTGCGGCAACGAGGGCGGGCAGGTATGGAAATCACGCACAGGAATCGTAAGCACAGCCCGTTTCTGTGCACTTTTGCGGTGAAAGTGGAGTGCAGCTGCGAACCGCGACAAGCTAGGAGAATTCACTGTTGCATAATTCAACTTCCGTCCGACGACGGTAAATAGAGTGGTAATGCGAATGGAAAGGGTGGTATCCCAGTAATAAAGAGGAGAGAGGGGAAAAATTGTCTGAACGCGTAATGAAAAGCTCCACTTTAATTTTTTGTTCCGATATGCTGGAACTATAAAGCACTGTTGACGATCTGAGATGAGATTGAAAGTTTTAGGTGTATACTACGATGGCAGAATTCGCTGTCGACTTCACGGGGGGTGCTATAACATGAGGACCGGCGAACTTGAAGATTATCCGGCACTTGACGGCTTGCAGACGTACGATGTAAGTTAACAAGTTGCTCAACGATGTAAACCTTATTTTACGATGTTACAGTAAACGATGTAATCACATCTGACCAGGAAAGGTCAACAGGTAGCCATGGCCAGTCAGGATGGGATGCATATTGGCGTGTGCGCCTCAGGACACTGAACTCAAATTTGCTTTCAGAATTTGCGGAACGATTCTCTCGGAGAGCTAGGGGGGGTCCTAGCACAGTACCCGCTGAATACTCTTGGTGCTAGCTCAAGTAGAGTTCGAAAGGCAGTAGTGACAAGATTGTGGTATAGTGGATAGGTTCATTATTTTTCGAGCCTGCTCTCATTCGTAGTAGAAAAAGAGTCAAATGCCAGCCCTACATCAGTTGTGCTTCAATGTCGAGACTTCTTGAAAAATTAGCTGGTTTTCAGATGGTACATGAACAAGTCAATTACAACTACTAAAGAGTACATATTGTGTTTCTTCAAGAAATGGTGAAGCAAAAGAGCTTCTCAAAGTGAGCACAGAGAATGATGAAAAACTCTCCTTAACTGGTGTAGTCACATCAATTCAGAAGGAATCAGTAATGAACAGGTGATACAAATTCACCAGGGTTTGCATCAAAGTATCCCGCTACATACAGGAGCAGGACAAAAAATCCTAAATTGAGGAGAGCAAAGCTGAAAATAATTGAGAGAGAGAAGAAAAATAGAGTCCCGACTGCGTATAGAGAAATTGATATCGGGAGGTACTGCGTAGGAAGTGAAACGTCTATAGATCGACTCAAACAGTAGGAAGGAGTAAATCTCCAAATGAGTAAATCTCCAGAGTTCGAGTCAAGTCTGTACTGGTGGTATGTTGAGGGCTTCTAAACGCTTTTCAGGTGACAAAGCCAGTTCAATAAGGACGTGATCTTTAAAAAAGCCCTACAAATCAACTACCGTAGGTGGTGACTGTATAGGCAAAGCAGGTTTACCCAGTCCAACATAAGATGCTTACACATAACATGCGTTTTATCCGCACGAAATACCAAGCTAGAAGCTTGAAAATGTCCTTTGGAGGAGAACACCCCGTTTGGTTCGTGTTGAAATGTAAATTTGAAGTGACTAAACTAATTCTTCATCAAAGAAAAGCTTACCACCTATGCTTTCCAGTAGTTGTAGTTTGACTTTTCATGTACCATCTGAAAACCAGCTAATTTTTCAAGAAGTCTCGACATTGAAGCACAACTGATGTAGGGCTGGCATTTGACTCTTTTTCTACTACAAATGAGAGCAGACTCAAAAAATAATGAAATAGACCTTGTTTCCGAACTCACAGGAGATGTTCAGAAAAATGCAGAAGTCCGGACCTGCCGACGAATAGAACTCCTGACCTTGCATCTATGAGGCAACTTACCTATCCACTACACCATCGACCGCTTATCACTACTGACTTTCGAACTCAACTTGAGCTAGCACAAGAGTATTCGGCGGGTACTGTGCTGGACCCCCCCCTAACTCCTCCTAGAGAATCGTTCCGCAAATTCTGAAAGCAGATTTGAGTTCAGTGTCCCGAGACGCACACGCCAATATGCATCCCATCCTGAATGGCCATGGCGACCTGTTGACCTTCCCTGGTGAGATGTGTTTTATTGAATTACCAGTCGTATCGCCCGGCTGACGCCGAGCTCTGCTCCTTCTCTTAAGCTGGCTAGGCTTCGTCAGGCGCACTTCAATGGAAACAGAACTTGCTCTCTTCACTAGCTGCTCATTATGAAGTGCGCCTGACGAAGCCAAGCCAGCTTAAGAGGAAGCTGTTTTGATCAAATCATAATAGATGAGGGTAACTCAGGCGCGAGCTGTTTGTGCAATGGCTCGGAGTGCACTGAAAGGTTGTCTTATGTATAAAGGATCACAATCAGAACACATCATAGTCCGTTACTTTATTTGGATTAGCTTGCAGTTTTGCTAGCGGTTGTATCCTCCTCTCTTGCTGCGTGCTCCTACTCAAGCGTGCGCTTCGCACCCCTCCCCCCACCCTTCCCCTTAGTCCAACCTCTTCCCCCTGTTTCCCTGCACTACAGGTGCTCATGTTCGGCTGAGCATGTGCAGGGGAAGGAAGCAGAGCGGAGAGTTCACTTGGTACCCCCCCCCCCTTCCCCTCACCATCCAGTACGCGAGCAGCTCATGCAATGGCTCGGAGTGTACCGAATGGTATGACGGGTATGTCGATCGATTATATAGCGGAGGCTGTTCAATCGGACATGGATTGATACATCTGCACCAGCCGGTTTCAGCTTGTCTAGCGGCCGTATTCTTGCCCCATTAATTCGAACCCGTGAAGCATTTTGCGGACGGACAGACATACATACAAGTAAACCGACACACAAAGTTACTGGTTCATAAAATGAGAGGATTTACATGAGCATTGTGGAAAAAAAGAATTGTCTAAAAAAGCAGGAATGATAAGTACGTTGCCATGATAGCCTTGTAAAAACGGAGGTGTGGTATAAACGATGAGATTCCAGCTACCGCACGTTTTACGACGGGTATGTCGATCGCTAGGGATATATGAAAGCGGGTATGTCGATCGCTAGGGATAAATGAAAGAAAGCGGGTATGGGCAAAAGAACCGTAATTCGTCACGCCAGTGGGCGTCGCGTGCGACGTCGCGCCGCTAATGACGACGATTTCAGGTGGTATTGGTCGAGAACTGACAATGTATGACCAAAAATAGGCTAAATTTTTACCCTTGTCATCAAGCTATGCTTCCATTCAGTCAAGGAGGACTATATTTTCGAAGGCATATTGAGGTTTCCTATGAATATTCCTACAATGGCACAGCGGAGTAGAGCTTTTGATTGGCTCAGAACTCTGCCCATCGAAAAACCCATCGGAAATATCTTCCTATCTAGCGGGACCAGAGGAAAATTGTGGCTTGTTGCAAGGAGGTTAAATTGCACTTCGTAGCGAAGTTTTTGGATTTGCAAATGATTGCGTCGAAGTAATGGTCGTCCGAAGCACAATAACTCTTCGCCATTAACCCATTTAAAACCCATCCAAGATATTGCCCAAACAAAGAAAGATAAGATCAAGACTACGGGTAGTCACAAAAACCCCACGAGAGACCTTACGCCTTCCATTTTCTCAAGAGCTCTATAGAGGCGCAAGCTTTTGCACATCGTTGCGTATACAATCTTTCTCGTCACGGGCAAATAGTTAGAGCCGGAAGGAAGGGGGAGGATCGTACTAACGTTGAAAACACATCACGATGCTATACCCTCATGGATGAAATAGCGGTGACGTGCTTGATGCTAGGGCGACTGCGTGCAACTGTCACTCCAGGGATTTCCCAACAACAGAACACGACAGAAGGGATAAGTCTTGGTGACGTTATCGGAGCTGTGGGTAAATGCTCAACAGACTGGGAAAGACTAAGCGAATGAGGGGATAAGACCCACAGATGTGTGAGCGATTCAAGGCTGACAATGAGCGAGAGAATGGTCGAGGAGCGAGCTGTCGTTGAGGTGAACTGCCGATCTACTGGCTACGGCGGCCTTTCACCGCTGATATATGATCGTGAACGGTCATAACTTCCCCGCGGGGGCGGAAATAGCTGTAATGGTGGATCAGGGATGCAAACGAGTTGAGAGGCGAGGTAAAAGTGCTCATGAATCTTAACCACCGCAACTCCGACCCTTCAGTGGGAGGGCAAGAAGAGTAGGCATGAGAAACAAGGTGGAAGTAGAAGGAACAGGTGATACCTTCAAAATTAAACGGAAGAATACTCGTAAGGGGAACCGAACAAGGACTACTCTTCGAGGAAATGAACATGAAGCAGACAAACAAACTTGTGAAAAAGCCTTTAGCCTTGCGGTTCACTGCCGATATCGGCTAACCGGCTCATCACGTTGAACGTGTGAGTGCTGTAAGGCTATGGCACAAATAGCCATTGAGCTGAGTGGTCAAAAGTGGCCTCGGTAGCATAATAGGGAACGCAACTGCCTGGTAAGCAGAAGATGCGGGTTTGAATCCCGTCCGTGGTCTGAATTTTGGGGCCCCATAACACAGCATTCTTGGCAGGTCGTCTCGGTTTGCTTACGCGGTTGACTTCGATAGCGCTTCTTTCCATAGCAAAGAAGTCTTTCGACAAAGGAGCAGGGAGTGTCATGTTGACCTCTCTGCAGCTGTCTATAAAACGAGCGAGTAATGGAATAAATTGGTTTAAGTGTATTTATGGCGGAGCATATGAAATTCACGAAACAGCGACTTGTCTTTCTGACTTGAAAATTTTTTAGGGTAAAGGTCCATTCCCAGAGATGATATGTGATGTAAGGCCAAGTGGAGTAGCGGTTTCCCACGCTAGTGGTGAAAGGTGTAGGGAAGGGGTGCTGTGCGTGTCCTCAGCGAGACCCAAATCGTAAACGCCAATGCTTTGAGAAATGACAGTTTTCGATAGACGGTCCACATAGTTTCGAAGAAGGCGTCACCATCGTTATGGACATCCGCAATTACATTCTAGCTGGATGAGGCGGCCTGGTGTTTGGGTCATGGCATGCACGGTCGGTTGAACCTGGAATCCGGGTACATGAACGTATAAGTAGCAAAAGCAGGGTGCTTGAGCCACTGTCTTGACGCACCTCTGACGACTTGAGCACAGCTGTTGTAATGGCGGCCACTGCAATAGTGGCAACACAGGACCTCTACTAGAATGGGAGCCTGATGCTGGCGGAGGAGGTGCGACAGTGTCATGGTGGCGGGTAGGGAAGGTGCGGTACCGTTCTTCAGTTGTTGTCATGGTTTACCTTCTTGTCAGCCGACTTGGGAGAGCACAATGGAGGTGTCAGTGGAGTCTATGGAAGAGTGTAGCTTCTGTGAGACAAAGGTGTAGAGCGCATTAACTTCATCGACAGTGGGCTCTCGAGATGGAGGGCCTGAGTTGGCTCGACGTAAGTGAGCTAATGCAATGTCAGGGTGCTCGAGATTGGTGTAGCCGAAGGAGGTAACGGTAAAGGGTGTGACACAGACGAATTTGATGCGAGGGATTGTGACGGA